TTTGGATATGATACTGGAACAAGGCTAATGGCCATTAACATATCAAAGATATTGACTCATCAATTAAGAAAAGCCAGTGTGGGCTGCTGCATCGGTCCAGATTATGGGAAAATGTTTTGAGATGCGGTGTATAAAAATAGCTTTACCATTCCAGTGGGACAGAAACCTGAGCCACATGTTCAGATCAGCTATGGCATGTACGTCCAATGTTATGGTACTGTTATCAGGGGGAAGTTTAATGTACCAAGTAAGTACTGAAGCTCAGACCTGGTACACTTGTTCTTGGCTAGAAACGATTCCAAGCTTGTTGTGTAACTGTATCCAGTTGAATCCCCAGGAAAACTAAATTGGTGGAAGGCCCTACAATTTTCTCCTGCGAGATCAGAACCATTATAGATGAGAAAAGTGCAATTTTTTGCGTGTTATGTGGGACTTTGATTCTGAGAAAGTCGTCTAAGTAGTAGATAACTGATGGGCATTCGCATATATTGAGTAGGAGCCAAGCTAGTGTGTCTGCAAACAAGTAAAAAAGATTGCCTGTGCCGCCTTATGGACACGCCGGCCCTGAGTGCACAGAACCTTTAACTGGAAACAGTAGGTCAGGTATCCACCCCACCTTGGGGGATCACCAGCTTGTGGTGAGCAGATAGTATATGTGAAATCAGAAATAAAATATATAGTGCTCACTGGTGTAATTAAATGTTCCCCACTTTTGGGGACACCAGGGAACTATCTCCTACAAGGGAAGCACAAGTTCATTGTTAGACCCGCTCGCTTTACGCTTAGGGCACTAGGACCCTGCAGAAAGCAATTAGACAGTTCTCCCTGCGTGTGGATTGGCCTGTGGGTTTAAGAGAAAGCCTGGTGTACATCTACATCTGGTTGGCCAATCAATTCTTTTCCTGACGGGTCCGCCCCCCTTTGCCCTTTCTACATGCGATTTCTGAAGTCCCTCTTGCAGAAACGAGGACGTTTGCTCTCTCTGACACTAAACTCCTTTATGACAAAGTTTACACAAGGCACCTTATATCATGACAGATGTCATCAGCTGTCATGACGTGGTTATTATTTGTATGCCGAATAGCAAATTAATAGCAATTCTGCATTTTTTACCATGTTATTAAGAGCATAATGAGTTACAGAAAAACACAAAATGAACCAACCATTGTTAATTCTTTATAACAAATACACAGGGAAATCTACAAACTGTAGAATTAATGCAGCTGCAGCTGCCTGCAATTGCATACATTATTTGTAATACATAAAAGCAAATCTAAATATATTTTTAGCTAGTGTACTTATTTTACAAGAATACAAATAGATTAGTTGATGATTTGGAAGTATGTAACCATGTGTATACATATATTAACTATATAGCATAGGTTAACATCTTAGAATATCCTATTTAACTCATTAATCATAATTGATTTTAAGTATTTATATATGCGTACTGCATCCACGTCTCAGCTACTGACGTCAAGTCAAGAGAGGGACCATTTCTCAGGAGTATATACAAAAACATAAATAATAGCATTTTAATAAAGAACCTTGAAGAACAGAACATGCAGGATCAAATTATTAACCGGGCGCCGTGTCAGATATAAAGTAGAATGTATTTCATCTTGTCATTTCAAATTCTCTACTTAACCATGCTCTCATCTACCCACTCTGTCACTCATTATGGCCTTGATTTAACCCCTTAGGGACGGAGGCAATTGTACAAGATCTGCACAAAACCAAATAAAACCTAGAATTTGAGCTGTATGTTGTTCAACCATAATTTACCTATTTTATATTAAGTGCACTCACATTTATTATATATAATTTTGTTTAGGAGAAATAAGGCTTTCATTTCACATAAAATATTTATATGTGAAAAATTGTTTAATATGTATAAGATCTAAAAAAGTAGCTATTTTCAAACTTCTGCACAGCATTTTAACTGTGAATGTCACAATATTCTTTTAATTCACATATTTGTATGATGTAATGTCCCACAAGGACATCATTGTCAATTTCATAAAATATGAACAGCAGTGAGTAGTTGAGAGTACTAGGGGTGTCTTAGCCAAGCACTTTCAACCAACCGATGTCTAGTTTGCACAAAATTGACACAGATAATATTGTAAAGCACTGCTGAATTAGTTGGTGCTATATAAATACCAATAATAATAATAATAATAATAATAATAATAATAATAATAGTATTTATTTGTAGTGTCCCTCCTGTCCAGCATCGTCATTATGCCATTGAAGCCACCGTTTCTGCATCATGTTTGGGGACATGTCCCCAAACAGTGGAACTTAAAGAAGAGGGCAGGTGGAGTGCGGATAGACTGGAACTGGGTATTAAAATACTGCAGCACCCACATGGAAAAAAAGATGTAAGCACTGGTTTAGAGGTTAGGTAAGTCTATGTTTTAACATTTTCTGTTAAATAAATACAGTACATGAATTATGTATACATCTTTCATACATGCAGTAAAATAGTTTTTAGGTATGGCTGCTCGCCTTCAGAGATATGGTGGTGTCTTTAGTGCATCAGACCAGGGCTGGCACTTCCCAAGGGGCGCCGCCAGGTGCGCCGGCCCCCCTCATGCTGCAGCTGCCCGAGCGCTCTGTAGAGAGCCTTAGGCGGCTGCAGCTTTGCCTGGGCTCGTGTGTCCATGAGGGCGCACCGCCCAGGCGCAGCATGAGGAGAGGGGCTGACAGCTCAGCGCTCCCTCCTGTCACTCCCTCACTGTAGTGTCACTCCCTCCCCTACCTCTGTTGTAGCGTGGCCGAGCCCTGTATGGTCCGCGGGTACAGGGAGCATCGGTCTCCTGTACCCGGCCGGACTAACACGGAGTGTGCACTTCCTTTTAGTCCGGCCGGGTACAGGAAACAAAAGCTCCCTGTACCCGCGGACCATACAGGGCTCGGCCACGCTACAACAGAGGTAGGGGAGGGAGAAATAAATTGACAGGGAGGGGTGGAATAAATTGACAAGGGGGAGAGAAAGAAATTGACAGGGAGGGGGGAGAAAAAAATTGACAGGGAGGGGGGGAAAAAATTGACAGGAGAGGGGAAAGAAATTGACAGGGAGAGGGAGAAAGAAAATTGGGGGGAGAAAGAAATTGACAGGGGGGAGAAATAAATTGGACAGGGAGGGGGGAGAAAAATGACAGGGATAAATTGACAGGGAGGGAGAGAATTGACAGGGAGGGGGAGAAAGAAATTGAATGAGAGTGGGGAGAGAGGGAGAAGAAGTGACAACGGGGAGAAGAGAGTACAAGGGAGGGGGGAAGAGGGATGGGGGAGAACCAAAACACATTATCTCTACAGTTTAAACTGTATGTTATTTTCTAACTGGTTCTGCAGTATGCTGTAAATTTTACTCACAAAATATTATTTTCCTGTTGTGTGTGCTACATATTCTCTGATTTTTAGCTTGCATTGTGACTAACACAAAAAACAATGGTTTTCATAATGTGTTTCATAGAAAATATGTTGTAACCTATTTAAACTCTTCCTTTTACACAACAATAAAATAAAGGTGGAAAGAATGCGCTTGCTACTTAACAACGGTTATCTAGTGTTTAATAGGTATTGCTAACTATTTGCCTTGTGCAAAGACCAGAGCAGTCTTTAATATTGATTTAACCCTGGGCAAGCGTTTGTTTGGGTCCCCTAGACCCCTCCCGCCCCCATAACGCAAGAGTGGTGAAAAGATAGATCCCCATCTGTCGTACAACACCCATGATGCTATGCAAGCTGGGGATATACCATTTGGCAATCCTTGCAGGGTTGGGTTTGTTAGCAGTGTTTGTGCGTTTGAATGTCAGCCTGTTTTTGTATAGAGTAGGTGTGTGCATGTAGAGGTATATTTGTAGGTTACCATTGGAATGCAGTGGAGTACTTGTATGTAGTGTTGACTTTTAAATGCTAGTGTATATGCGTGAGTAGACTTGGAGTTTGCATATAATGTTAGCGTTTTAATTAGGGATGTGCATGGGCAAAAAATTTGGTTCGGTTCGGCACTTCGGAATTCGGAAGTTAAGCAGTTTGGGACTTCGGCAATTCAGTTCGGTACTTCCAAAATTCGGCACTTTGGGAATTCCCTAACCCTACCCCTACCCTTACTCCTAACCTAACTAGGGTTAGGGGTAGGGTTAGAGGTAGGGTTAATGGTAGGGTTAGATTCCTGTCATAATTACCTTAATTTTCCCTCCATCTCCTGTTTTGCCACTTTTCAGAAATCCGAAGCACTTTGGCACTTCGGCAATTGGGTTCGGTTCGGCACTTCCGAAATTCGGCACTTCGGGAATTCCCTAACCCTACTAGGGCGAAGGGTAGGGTTAGAGTTGGGGATGGGGGCTAGGCAGGGGGTAGGGTTAATAGTAGGGGTAGGGGTAGGGTTAGGGCTAGATTCCGGTCATCATTCCCTTAATTTTCCTTCCCTCTCCTGTTTTGCCACTTTTCAGAAATCCAGAGCGGTTCGGCAGTTTGTCACTTCGGCAATTCGGTTCGGCACTTCTGAAATTCAGTAATTCGGAAGCATCCAAATGTCCAAACTGCACATGTCTAGTTTTAATACAAGGGTGGTGTTTGTATATAATATTTTCATTCAGGGTGTGTTTGGATGTAGTGTCTTTTAAATGTGGATGTACATGTGTGTATTATATTGGTGTTTGAGTGAAGGGGTGTGTATGTATGTGTGTATATATATATATAATTTTGGAGTTTGAAATCACGGATGTGTTTGCAAGTTTTTGGTTGCTGGGATGTATGCACATATATACATACACATTAACACATATATAAACACAGTGACACATACACACACCTTGACACACAGATACACACACACACACACACATACACACACACTGACATAAATAGACACATACATGTGATATTTTTATGTTTGCAGCAGGGCAGAAGTAGAGAAAGGGTGGAGGTGCAGAGCAGAAGAAGAGTGAGGGGAGCTTAGGGCCGAAATGAGTGTGGGGGGGTACAGGGAAGAAACAGAGTGGGGGACAACCCAGCGTTTCCCCCTCCCTGCATGGAGGCATTGAACGTTCCTCATAGAGATGCATTGATTCAATGCTTCTCTATGAGGAAACCCTGATTGGTGCAGAGCATCATCTTGCCCTGCATGTGCAATTGCCTGGATTGGCTGAGATACTGATGCTCTCAGCCAAGGAGGTGGAGCATGGGCACGGCCAGCTGTGGGGAGACTGACTCAACGTGTGAAAAAGGGGGGTAAACAGGTGGCAAATGTGTTATCATACCTGTAGTGTCAGAAATGCACACTATAGTGTTCCTTTAAGTAATTAGGCATGTAGAATCCTGCAGAATATATATTATACATACTGAAGGTCATACTTTTCATGTGTTTTCATAAATATGACAAAATTATAGGTGTCCCTGATAACATGGAGCAGGTAATAAGCCTACCTTTAACCTCAAAAAAATGTCCATGAGATGTTATGTTGCCTCCATGTTAGGCGTTACAAGTCAACAATACTGACTTGTCATACTCTTATATGAATGAAGAGTTAGCTATGGCCATGGTTTGAGAAACACATGTGGGTATTTGCACCCGTTGATAATCTATAGTTTGTTGTTTTTTGTATACTTTATTTTATTGAGGCTTTTGAGTATTATACAACATAAAATTGCATTAGGAGCTGTTGGCACATGAACAATTAATGCAATCAAGTAAAATTAGGCTCCAAGGAAAAGTTGCCTCTTTTTTTTGTTCATCTCAAGTAGTTAACAACAATGCCTGTTTGGTACACGAATCTGTGAGAACTTAGGAGAAACATAAGCTCGAATATGGGATGAGATTGAGTAATAATTAAAAATAATGAAAATAGTTGAGAAGCACAGTGCATGTGTGATACATTAATATATGGAAATATAGGATGGTCGGGTCTGCTTAGATTGACTGTGCATATACCTTTTATCAATTCTTTACGTTTGTGTACTCAGAAAGTATTTTATAAAGCAGCTCAACATATCACAACAGGAGGTGTTCGCTTTACGGTAAATATATCGTAGCTTTTCAGCACGGGTGTCAGTGCACATTTTTCTAATAAGTGGGGTGATCGTGTAGGTGTGTGTAGTCGGCTGCGTCAACCCCGGAGTGATAGCATTTCACTGAGGTGACCTGGGTTGTTTTTGTGCAGGTACTTGGCAGGTTTCAAAATAACATTTAAACTTATGAACTACAAAGAAATTAAAACCATTACTGCATAAACCTGTAGGGGAGAGAGGATTAGCCGGGCTTGACGGGTGCTACCTCTGGGTGGGACGTCAAGAGAGGGTTTTATGAGCCATTGCTAGGCTAAGCTGTTGTGCTGCAGTTGTATGTGCCTGGATTACCCGGAGGCGCAGAGGGGGAGGGAGGGGGGTATTGGTCAGCTGGCTGTCGGGTAGGTCTGTGCCATGTCAGTGGCTTGGTCTGATGTGTAAAACATAAAAAAAACAAAAAGTAAAGTCTCAACATTCTAGCAGAATTTGTAAAATTAGCTGTATATGGTGGGAGAGTGTCCTGTTAAATATGCTGTGGAGTTCAGCTCTGGTTCAGGTGGTGGCTGCTGCATAGGTTTCTGCGGGAGGCCGTCGGGGAACGAACTCTGGAATGCTGGCTGTGTCACTTCTGACGTGGCGTGTAGGCCCTGCTGGTGGCACTGGTGGATTGATGGAGTTCAGGAGGAGGTCCAGTAGGCCCAGAGACCCCGTGGCCTCCTGCATGTCATGTATGACATGCAATGTGTCTCCTTTGTTGATCTGTAGGGTGCGGCCTGGACCCCAGCGGTACTTAATTTGGTGCATTTGTAGAAGGGATGTGAATTGTCGCAGTGACCTTCTCCATGCCAGTGTTCCGCCTGAGAGAGAGTAGAATGACAAGGCCATCTCTTCAAAGGGGTAAATTAGCTGACCTCTGGTGGCCTCCAGGACTGCCAGTTTGTCTCTTATGGTCTGGAACTGGATCACCAAGTCTCCTGGGGCAGTGGGTGACGCTGTGGCTGGTTTCGGTATGCGGAAGATTCCGTCTTGTTTAATCACTTTGGCTGCTTTCGGCGTCAGTAGTGCGGTAAGTAGCCGCCTGGTAAAGTGTGGGAGCTCAGCTGCTGGCATGGAATCAGCGACACCCCTAACTTTCAGGTTTTTTTTGCGCAGTTTGTCTTCCTGTGTGGCTGGTTGCGGATTATGGATCAGATATTGCTGTCGCAGTTCTTGGACTTCTGTCTGAAGCTCCGTTATCTGGCATGTGTGATTGCTGGAGGTGCCCTCCACTGCTCCAAGCAGAGTTGTTATGCTCTTCAGGTCGTCCCGGATCATGGCCACGTTGGCTGAGATTTTTCTATGGTGATCCGCCATGAGCTCACCTACGGCCTCCATAGTCACCGGTGTGGGTGTTGTCGCTGGTGGCTGAGGCCGTGGATTTTGCTCACTTCCAGGCATTGAGAGCGGTAGTTATTCGCGGTGTTGGTCAGGAGCTCAGCGGCCATCCGCTTCAACGGTTAAACTCCGCCCCCGTTTGTTTGTGGTTTTAAATTCATAATAAGCAGTATTGTATGTTTGTGTATCCTCAGTAAACCAACGAAAGTATTATATTTACTATCCTAGCTGTTTTTTTTCCCTATTTACTCAGTTTAGTTTATTTATGCTCTTCCCATGACAGTATCTGCAATTCTTCTCACTCTCTTCACGCATCTAACTTTGCAGATGATCCTTCTCTCCAAAGAATTGTTTGTGTGGTGTAGTGCAAACGTGAGATCATCTCTGACAGCAGCCTTACTAAGCCCCCTCCACTGCCAGCAGCGTCTGCAATGCATTAATAATGAAACTACATTTGAGCTGCTACCCCAAGCACTGCAGTTCTTGTGAACAATAGATTGCCAATTCCATTTACTAGGCGAACTAAACATCAAGTTGGTCTCAATGAATAATTTACTAAAACACTATTTCCTTCATTCAATGAAGAGATGAGTTTTAATCTATTGATATACAGATGAATTCCATAGCTGTACTCAGATTATTCTATTTAACCCCTTAAGGACTGAGGCAGTTGTACAAGCTGTGATCAAAACAAAACGTAAAACAAAACCTGGAATTTGCGCTATATGTCTGTTCAACCATAATTCACCTCTTTCATATTAAGTGCACCCACACTTATTATATATCATTTTGTTCAGGAGAAACAGAGATTTCATGTTACATCAAATATTTGTATATGAAACAATTTAATATGAAAAAATATATAATTTGTTTTTTAGAAATTAAGACATTATTATTTTTTTTTTTAGTTCTGGATGGCATTTTAACCGTGATAATGTCATAATACTGTTAGCTATAACTGCAATAAAGTACACATATTTGTATTCAGAGATGTTTCACGGGTAAAACAGTACCCCCAATGTATAGGTTTTATTGTGTTTTGGAAAGTTAGAGGATCAAATATAGCACATTAAATTTTTCGGTTTATACACATTGAAATTTGCCAGACTAGTTATGTTGCCTTTGAAATTGTATGGTAGCCCAGGAATGAAAATGGCATACCATTTGCAAAAGTAGACAACCCAGGGTATTACAAATGGGGTATGTCCATTCTTTTTTAGTAGCCACTTAGTCACATTTTTCACACACAAACAAATATGAACGCTAACTTTGGCCAGTGTTTCTGACTAGGTGGCTACTAGAAAAGACTGGACATACCCCATTTGTAATACCTTGGGTTGTCTACTTTAGCAAATGGTATGCCATCATGGGGGTAATTTTCCTTCCTGGGCTACCATTTGGTCTCAAAGTCAACATAACTAGTCTGGCAAATTTCAACGTGTATAAACTGAAAAATGTAATGTGCTATATTTGAATGCTAATTTTTGCCAGTGTTTGTGACTAAGTGGCTACTAAAAAAAACTAGACATACCCCATTTGCAATACCTTGGGTTGTCTACTTTTGCAAATGGTATGCCATCATGGGGGTAATTCTCATTACTGGGCTACTATACGGTCTCAAAGGCAACATAATTAATCGGGCAAATTTGTTAAAAAAAAAGAAATCCAAGCCTTACATTTGACTCAGTAACTTTTGAAAAACACCATAAAACCTGTACATGGGGGTACTGTTATACTCAGGAGACTTTGCTGAACACAAATATTAGTGTTTCAAAATAGTAAAACGTATCACATCTTTGATATTGTCCATGAAAGTACAGTTTGGCTGTGAAAAATGCAAAACACTGCATTTCACTAACAATATCATCGTTGATTTGTTTTGCTGTTTTTAAACACTAATATTTGTGTTCAGCGAAGTCTTCCGAGTAAAACAGTACCCCCCATGTACAGATTTTATGGTGTCCTGGGAAGTTACAAGGTTAAATATAGGGCTTGCGAGCCAAATTCTCTGGACTTTCTGCCTGGGCTGTCGGGCAGGTCCCTCAGATTGTAATTAATAAAACGACTTAACTATGTAAAAATATTATATAAATATATTTGTAGAATTTAAATATATACACACACGTGTGTATGATTATATATATATATATATATATATATATATATATATATATACACACACACACACACACACACACACACACACACACACACAATTTTTAAAGAACATCATTCTAAATTTATTTTGAATTTAATATACAAGAACAAATTAAAACTGGTATATCATTTTTTTTATTCAAATTTATTGATTATATATATATATATATATATAAATATTTAACGTCATTCTAAGTGTATTTTTATATTAATATATATGTGTATATATATTACACATATATATTATATTATATACCCCTCTGTTCCTGTATGTCCAGTGGTCTGATCTCAATTATGTCTGTTAGTCCACCCATTGTACAGCGCTACGGAATTTGTTGGCGCTATATAAATAATAAAATAATAATATATACACACAAACACATATATATATTATTAAAATGCACTTAGAATAATTATGTATGTGTATAAAAATGTACTTAAATCATATTATATATATTCCAAGTACTTTTATTTACTTTATTAAACTTTTTATTAACTTTATAAACTTTTTTTGCAGGCATTAGGGGGATAGCCTGAGAGGTCAGGCAGTCCCCTTGCAGGCACTGCATAAGCCGGCTATTCCAGCCAAGTGTACGTGAGGACCCCACGATTACATGGCCGGGGGGGGGGAGGGGGGCGGAACAGGCAGTGGGGGGTTTGCCTGAGCTCCAAGGCAGACCCCAGGATCATGACTG